TTGCCCCCTGGAGGAGCCTTCTCTTCTCCAGCTGCCCCAGCCCAGCTCTCTCAGCCTGGCTCCAGAGCAGAGCTGCCCCAGCCCTCGCAGCAGCTCCGGGCCCTCCTCTGGCCTCTCTCCAGCAGCTCCATGTCCCTTAGGCTGGGCTGTGCTCTTGCAGGTATTATCGTATTGCTGCCTTTGGTTACTACGCCTACAAAATGCACCCAGACGATGTCCTCTACAACTGCCTCCCCCTCTACCACTCTGCAGGCAAGCAGCAGCTTCCTTCTCCTCCTCAGCAGACGTGAAGCTTCTGCTCCTTCCTTGGGAGCCAGTGGGGTGGTGGGAGCTAACAACATGCTCCGTGTTCTCCAGGTAACATCATGGGAGTCGGGCAGTGCCTCATCCACGGCCTCACCGTGGTGATCAGGAAGAAGTTCTCAGCCAGTCGCTTCTGGGATGACTGTGTGAAGTACAGATGCACGGTGAGGGCCTTGCTCAAGGGTCCACTGCTTAATCCTTCAGCTGCTTCCCTGCCCCCTCTTGGTGCCTGCACCATGGCGCCTTCACGTTGTCACTGCGGCTTCAGGCATGTGGGACTTAGAGAAGGTCTCTCATCCATCTTAGAATCGTTTTGGTTGGAAAAGACCTTTAAGATCATTGAGTCCCATCATGACCATCAACTCCACCACTACAACGTGTCCCTCATCACCACATCCACTCACCTCTTAAAGCCCTCCAGGGGTGGTGGCTCCACCACTGCCCTGGGCAGCCTGTTCCAGTGCTTGACAACCCTTTGGGTGAGGGAATTGCCCCTAATATCCCACCTGAACCTCCCTGGGCACAACTTGAGGTCATTTCCCCTTGTCCTATCTCTTGTTCCTTGGGAGAAGAGACCAACCCCCACCTTGCTACAGCCTCTCTACAACCTCCTTCCAGGTAGTTGTAGAGAGCAAGAAGGTCTCCCCTGAGCCTCCTTTTCTCCAGGCTAAACACCCCCAGTTCCCTTTGCTGCTCCTCACAAGGCTTGTGACCGGCCACCAAGGGGGTTTACCCCTCCCCGGGCCAGCCTGTTCCAGTGCTTGACAACCCTTTGGGTGAGGGAATTGCCCCTAATATCCCACCTGAACCTCCCTGGGCACAACTTGAGGTCATTTCCCCTTGTCCTATCTCTTGTTCCTTGGGAGAAGAGACCAACCCCCACCTTGCTACAGCCTCTCTACAACCTCCTTCCAGGTAGTTGTAGAGAGCAAGAAGGTCTCCCCTGAGCCTCCTTTTCTCCAGGCTAAACACCCCCAGTTCCCTTTGCTGCTCCTCACAAGGCTTGTGACCGGCCACCAAGGGGGTTTAACTCCAGTCCCCACCACGCTTTGGGCTTGGCCATCCAGCCATTCATTCTTTTCCCCATCCAAGCCATGAGCAGCCAGTTTCTCCAGGAGAATCCTGTGGGAAGAGGCATTCAAGGCTTTATTAAAGTCCAGACACACAACCTCCAACACCTCCTCCTGCTTCCCCTTTGTGAAGTTGTCAAGACCAGCTTCCAAACCCCAAGTCTGCATCCCTCAGGGCTGCAGGAAAGCTCTGCCAGAGTTCAGCTGCGTCGGGAGGATCTGCAGAGGAATCCTCTTGGCACTTCATCCCCAGTAAACATCTATTTGTGTCTGTGTCAACGTTACCTTCTAATTTAAGCAGCTCTTTCTCCTCCCTGATGTTTTCTTGCCCTCCCCACATGCAGAGCTGGTAACTGGATCTCCACTCTGCATTCTGCTGCATCAAGCTGAGTTCACGACCAACCAACTCATTCCCCTGACCCTTCTAGAGGTCTTTCAGTGTGTCTCCTGCAGCATGAGGGTTTTCCCATATCCAGATACCTTTATTCGTGCTGAGGGATCCCTCCTGGATGGATTCCAGAGGGCAGGAACCATTTGCCCTTTGCTTCTTCTGGCAAGAAACCGCACCTCGAAATGGCGACCGCTCACGGATGCTGGCGTGTCTAGTTCCATGGGTGCGCGGCCACCGGTGCCTTCGTGGGCACCTTGCTCTTGGCTCTTCTTGGGTCACCTGAAGCCTGAGCCCTGTTTTTGTCTTTGCTACTTCAGATTATTCAGTATATCGGGGAAATCTGCAGGTACCTCCTGAACCAGCCCGTCCGGGAGGCGGAGGCACAGCACCGCGTGCGCCTGGCGGTGGGCAACGGCCTGAGGCCCAGCATCTGGGAGGACTTCACCAAGCGCTTCCGAATCAAGCAGATTGGGGAGTTCTACGGGGCCACGGAGTGTAACTGCAGCGTTGCCAACCTGGATGGGAAGGTGAGGAGCGATCGGGGAACCCTGGGTTGAGCCAGGTGGGAAGAGCTTCAATTCCATCAAGTCCAACTGTTCCCCAGCTCTGCCGAGGCCACCACTAACCCCTGGCACTGAGGCCTCGTCTGCATGGTTTGTGATGTGTGACTGCCCTGGGCAGCCTGTTCCAATGCCTGAACACCCTCTGGGCAAGGAATTGTTCCTCAGCTCCAGCTAAACCTGCCCTGGGGCAGCTTGAGGCCGTTTCCTCTTGACCCATCCCTTTGGAGCAGAGCCCAGCCCCCTCCTGGCTCCATCCTCCTGTCAGGCAGTTGCAGAGAGCGATAAGGTCCCCCCCAAGCCTTCTCTTCTCCAGACTGAACCCCCCAAGTCCCTCAGCCCTTCCTCATCACACTTGTGCTCCAGGCCCAGAACTGACACAGGATTCAAGGTGCAGCCTCCCCAGTGCCCAGCACAGGGGGACAGTCCTTGCCCTGGCCCTGCTGCCACACTGGGGCTGGGACAGGGACCGGCCAGGATGCCGGGGG